ACCCCATGATCCGGCACAAGGACCTATTACAGAAGGCATCAAGACGAGACTCCAAGGCACAGGATAATATCCAGGTTTCACTACCGTATAGTAAAACTGGCATTTTCAGGGTCTTGAAAACGTGTAGCTGCACAGGGACCGGCATCTCCAAATACTCTTGTCGAGAGAGTTCATGACCCCTGCTGCCAGGCCAGTCCGTCTGCTGACTTCCTGGTCTGACAGCCCAGGATTATGAACTACACTAACGCTCTCTGTAACTTCAATGTCCTCGCCGCAAGCACGTACCGACCGAACAGGTTCTCCTACTAAGTCCCCAAAGTCCTGGATCTTGGTCTTGGTCCAGGAGACCTCTAGACCCAAGGGCTTGGCTTCATTGCTAAATGCATCCAGTCACCACTAAGGTTTCCAATGACAGATAGAATAGCAACATCTTTAGCAAAATCAAGGTCTGCAACCTTGATATTACCCAGAGTTGCTCCACAATGGCTTTCGACAGTAACTATGCCCAGTATCCAGTCCATTCAAGTGTTGAAAAATGTTGGCACAAGGACACAGCCTTTTCTTCACTCCAGAACTAACAGGAAAGAAGCTCGACGGGCCCACCATATCACCAGCCTTTAAAAGTTCAGCTGGTATGCCGCAGACACCTGCTGCTTTACCAATCTTCAGCTTGGAGATCGCCCCCCAACTTCAATTAGGGAAGGTGGATCCTCACTGATGGGTGAGTCCGGCAACAGAATTTCGGCACTCCTCGCATCCAAGTTAACTGTTGGTGGATCAAACTGGTACAACTGCTCAAAATACTCAGCCCAACGCTCATGCACCGCAACAGGATCTGAAACGATATGGGCACATAATGAGCGGACTGCAGTCACCTGTGAAGAGGGCTTTGAGTTTAACTTTCTCAGGACTTGGTAAGCAGGACAAATGTCATTGTCTAAGAAATGGCCTTCGACCTTCTTTGACTCCTAATAAACTGTTCCTTGTCCCTTCTCAACAGTGATCGAATTCTGTGCAACTGAGAACGGTGCAAATCCCGTTCTCATATCAGACAAGCAGCACGACAGGCATCTGTAGCTTCCCGTGTCTCCTGCAAGATAAAATTCCGTCTTACTCTTGGGCGTTCACCAATCGATTTTTGAGTTGTACCAAGCATTTCACGTTTGAAGTTGTCGCACAGAAGTACAAGATCCGTCAGACTGTCAAGCGCTGTGAAACGCCTGTGGATTTCCTAAGGCTTTGCCCCACAAGCTTCATACTGAGCTGGAGGTTGCCAGAACGCAAGCGGGACAAGTAGCTCTCGTTCCTATCCTACGTCCTAGCAGTCGCCCTCCCAACGGGGCCCACAGTCTGCCTTACTTGCTGAGTGGGAGGAGCATTTCATTTATATTAGACGTTGCCGAAGGATTATATAAGGGGAGGAGGACTGGCAAGACCCACCAACCCCGAGCCTCCAATTAACCCCAGTGGGCTTAGGGGCAGGAGTTGGTACAAAGCTAGGGCGTGGTGGGCCATGACACTGTACCTCTGGGGGCTCTTGCTGCTCCGATGTCCCCCACAGTTTAGTTTGGGACCACAAAATACCCAGCTTCCATGTGTGGCCACGAGGAGGCACTGCAGAAGTCTCGATGACGGAGAGGCTATGAACTTGCAGGGGGAGGCTTATGCAGAGCTGCTCCCTTTTTCGCCCTGGACCATAACACATCACCTGCTGAGCATATATATATATATATACATATATATATTATATATATATATATATATATATATATATATATATATATATATATATATATATATATATATATATATATATATATATATATATAGAGAGAGAGAGAGAGAGAGAGAGAGAGAGAGAGAAATTCTCGCCTACTGCAGAGATCAAATCGCCTGTAATTGCAAATAGGCCTTGGTATTAAATATTCTGGTGCTTATGGCTCTGCCTGTATATAGAAATAGATAGAAATATAAACAGATTAGAAAGATAGATAGATAGGCTGGCAGGTCGACAGGTAGGTTAATAGATCGATAGATAGTAGGTAGGAATACTAATAGATAAATAGACAGATGGACAGACAAACTGATAAATGAATAGATAGCTTGTGAAAGATCTTTGTTGTGAAGTTAGTATTAGCAAATATACTCTCTCTCTCTTTCTACTCTTTCCCTCTATCCCAGCATGGGTTTAGAGAGCCATCCGCTGAAACAGCATTATTAAGAATCAAACAAAAATACTGACAACACAGAGGGATGGAAGGAGAAGGGGATGAGAAGGATGAGAGAGAGAGAGAGAGAGAGAGAGAAGAGAGAGAGAGAGAGAGAGAGAGAGAGAGAGAGAGAGAGAGAGAGAGAGATAGATATATATATATATAATATATATATATATATATATATATATATATATATATATATATATATAATATATATATATACATTTATATAATATTATATATATATATACCCATATGAGAACCGGGTTCACATTGGAAGGGACATATATATGTACATGCTCTCCGTCCTTTAAAAAAAATGCAAAAAGTCGAATTCAGTCAGTCAGCTGTTCGCTAAGCTCCGCCCACCAGTAGGTAAACTCCTCCCACCGGACAAGGCAAACTGGCGCGTCACTCTTATCATTTCCTTTTCCTCTATCTATGCACCTGTCATCTCTCCCAAGCTCATTCTCTTTCTTTCGCATGTATATTCTTACATGACATACCACAGATTACTTTCTAGGTCGCGTTAAGGTCTCCTGATGTGGATGCAAATGAGATCATCATCATCGTCATTCATTTGTTCTGGTTTTCTAATCATCGTCATTATCGTCGTCATTATCATTCTTCTTATTATTGTTGTTATCAATATGATTATTATTATTGTTCTTGATGTTGTTATCATGGGTTGTTATAATTGTTATCGTCATTAATGTTGTTATTATTGTTATCATCATTGTTGTTATTATTGATGTCATTATCATTCTTACTGTGATTATTGTTATTATCATTATTGATATCGTTATTACTTTTATTATTATCGTTATCAATATCATTATTTCTATTATAATCATCATCATTAATCATTGTTGATAATCTCTCTCTCTCTCTCTCTGTCTCTGTCTCTCTCTCTCTCTCTCTCTCTCTCTCTCTCTCTCTCTCTCTCTCTCTCTCTCTCTCTCTCTCTCTCTCTCTCTCTCTCTCTCTCCTCTCTCTCTCCTTCTCTCTCTCCTCTGTTCATGTTGTACTATTGTCTTATCCAGCTACCTTGCCGAGCAGCACTGAAAGATTATATTTCTCATTCAATAAAGCAATTTTTCCCCTGAAGTAATCAAAGAAATATAACAGACACGTGAAAATTATTTAATCCATTAATACTAAAAGAAAACAAAATATTATTATATATATTTACATTACGAATTTCACATCGAGTTGTAAGCATATGGTAGACAATCCACTTTAGCACAGTTACCCATATGCCCTCTACAACCGCATTATTTACAGCTGTAGTGGAGATATTTGATTTAAGGGTCTCTTACATAAATACATACTCCTCCACCTCGCCTTGCATCACATCTATAAATATTAGTAAAATCTTGCTCTTAAATTCGGAAATTCCTCAGTCAAAATCAAGACAGCAGAGAAGTCTTCATTGTCGTCATCAGCGCCATCCCGGGCGGGTCGTCCACCGTCAGGTGCGCAGTATGTATATATTTATGCATACATGTATAAAAATGTGTGTGTGTGTGTGTTGTGTGTTTTAACATATAATATTATATATATATATATAATGTATATTAGATATATAATATAAAATAATGATAATGATGAAGATAATGATATTAGTAATAACAGTAATAAAGATGAAGATAATAGTTATGATGGTTACGATTATGACTGATATCAACGATGATAATGATAATGAAAATGACAATAATAATAGGGATCATAATGATGAATGAAATAGTAACATGAAATTATTATTATTCATTGCCATGAAAATGACAATGATAATAATAATAAAAAATTAATGATAACAATAATCATCACCATCATCATAATGACAATGAAAATGATAATTATGATATTAAAAATAACACAATGATATCAATGATAATGATATTGATGATGGTGATAACAATAGTGATGATAACATGAATGATGATGATGAGAATGATGATAATAACAATAATTTCAATAATGATAATAAAAGTTACATTGATGATGCTGATGATGACAATAATATCAATGATGATGTTGAAAATAATAATAATAATAATAATGATATGATAAATGATCAGAAAATAATAATTATTATTCTTAAAATCGTCATCATCATCATCACCATAATCATAATCACCCTAAGGATAATACCAATAACAACAACAATAATAATGATAATGATAATAATGATAGTGATAATATTAATGATAATGATAATAATGATAATAACAATAATGATAATAACAATAATGATAATAATTATGATAATAATAATAATGATAGTGATAGTAATAATAATAGCAATAATAATGATAATGATAATAGCAGTAATAATGATAGTAATGATAATAACGATGATGATAATAATGATGATCATGATAATGACAACAATAACAGTGATGAAAATGATAGCTATAATAATAAAAAACAAGTAGATAATAATAATATTATTTTAATTACAATGATAGCAATTATAATAACTAATATTGATAACAATAGTGAAAAAATAAATGATAATGAATTAGAATAATGATAACATCAATAACATTACTAATGATGTTAGTAATAATAATAACACGAAATAATGATAATGATTACTGTAATAAAGATAATAATAGGAAAAGAACAACAACAAAAAAGTAAAAAATAACACATGATAGAAAATGATAGTTTAACGACGGTAATGGAAGAAACACCGATATGAGCGCCAGACTGCCCGGTTTCCCTTGTTTTATTTTTTGTAAATAAAGCGACCCCAACAAACCCTCGAAGTGTCAGTCTCGTTTGAATCGTCAGAAGGCTAACTTCTTAGGGAAATCTTCCTACAGAGATCAAAATTAACTGATATCATATAAGATCTTCAACGGCAAAAGAAGAACAAGAAACAGAGATCCAGGGAATATAGTTTTCAAAAGTCTGAAACCCGATGAAAGAAGAAAAAAGAAGAAGAAAGTGAACTTCCAGCCGGCGAACGGACTTGTTTATGTTGCGAATAGTAAGCATACGGATGATATAATAATCCCCAACTCGAAATAGAAAAAAATGTCAATAATCAGGTAAGCTAAAGCGAAAGCATGACACTTGGGTAAATGTCAGGAGACCCAGTTACATCAAAGGTAATATTTTAGAATAGCAGCTTGCAATGGATCGTGGTAATTTGGTATCGATGGATTCTTTACACTCTAGTATCCAGTTATAAAGATGATACCGATTAATTCTGTGTATATTATTCTTATTTTACTGTGCAATTTCCCTGGTACCTTTCATGCCCTCCCTTGCTGTTGCTGCTAACGGATGGGAGGTTTCCGCACAATGATTTTTAGGGAACGTTCCAGTTTCATACAGCTCCATGGGTTATTGTTTATGAAGTGACTGCACCCCACTAAGACTAACATCTATATTGCCAGTCACCCTGATCTCTCTCGCTCTCTCTTTCTCTTTCTTTCTCTTTCTCTCTCTTCTCTCTCTTTTCTTTCTCTCTTTCTCTCTCTCTTTCTCTCTCTCTTTCCTCTCTCTTTCTTTCTCTCTCCTCTTTCTCTCTCTCTTCTCTCTCTCTCTCTTCTCTCTCTCTCTCTCTCTCTCTCTCTCTCTCTCTCTCTCTCTCTCTCTCTCTCTCTCTCTCTCTCTCTCTCTCTCTCTCTCTCTCTCTCTCTCTCCTCTCTCTCTCCCTCTCCCCCTCTCTCCTCTCTCCCCTCTCTCCTCTCTCCCTCTCCTCTCCCTCTCCCCTCTCTCCTCTCTCCTCCCCTCCTTCCTCTCTCTCTCTCCCTCCATCCTCCTCTTTCTCTCCTTCTCTCTCTCTCCCTTCCCTCCCTCTCTCCTCTCCCCTCCTCCTCCCTTCCCTCCTCTCTTCTCCCCCTCCCCCCTCTCCCTCCCTCCTTTCTCTCTCTCTCCCTCCTCTCTCTCCCTCTCCTCCTCTCCCTCTCCTTCCCCCTCCCTTCCCCTCCTCTCTCCCTCTCCCCTCCCCCTTCCCCTCCCTCTCCTCCCCCACCCCCTTCCCCTCCTCTCCCTTTCCCTCTCTCTCTCTCTCTCCCTCTCTCTCCCCCCCTCCCTCTCCCTCTCCCTCTCTCCCCTCCCTCCCTCCTCTCTCTCCCTCTCCTCTCCTTCTCCCTCTCTCTCCCTCTCTCCTCTCTCCCTCTCCTCTCCCTCTCTTCTCCCTTGCTCTCTCTCCCTTGCTCTCTCTCCCTCTCCCTCCCTCTCTCTCTCTCCCTCCCTCTGTCCCTGTCCCCCTGTCCCCCCCTGTCCCTGTCCCTGTCCCACACTCTCTCTCCCTATCCCTCTCCCTTTCCCTCTCCATCTCTATCTCTCTTGCTCTCTCTTCCTCTCCATCTCTATCTCTATCTCTATCTCTATCTCTATCTCTCTTGCTCCCTATCCCTCTCCGTCTCCCTTGCTCTTTCTCCCTCCGTCTCCCTTGCTCTCCCTCTCCCTCTCCCTGCTCTCACTCCCTCTCCCTCTCCCTTGCTCTCTCTCCCTCCCTCTCCCTTGCTCTCCTCTCCCTTTCCCTCTACCTCTGAATCAATAGACTTAGGAAACACATGGGATAAGTACCTCAGTTTTGAAAATAAGAAAGTTGTTTATAAACCAAGTAAACCCTGGTGGGAAAGAAAGTATAAGGAAATGAAATAATTGTAGCATTTTATTTTGTAAAACTCTGTACTGATTATAAAGATTTTGAATATATAGTTTATTTTCTCTCATACTTGGTTTCTCTTACTTTATATTTACCAGATTGCAATGTTGGAAAGAGGCTGAGTGACAAGTGTGTATGGATGGATGTCTGGGCTCTAGACAATGCCGTGCGCAAACCATTAAGCTGGCACATGGTGAACTTTACAGTCTGGTGTATTTCTAGGACTCCATATATATTGTGTCACTCTGCTAATTTGCATTTTCGTATGTGTATTTACCCATTATCCATGTCTTTATGTATGTGGAAATAGTTGTACCATTCCATTAATCTTTGTTTTTATTTATTATCAAAACTTAATTCCATTAATCTTTGTTTTTATTTATTATCAAAACTTAATTTAGGATTTGTCTTAATTTCACCTTTTGATTCAGGAAACTCAATCCACGCTAAAATGTCAGTTACATATGCTGGAGCGGAGAGTGTGATATTGAACCATGAGATGTGGATGCTACAGCACTATTTCTTGAGAGAGGAAGTTGACCATTCAGCAAAGAAAAAGAAGTTTCAGATGTTGTTTGATCTTCGAACTCCATTCCTAATGGTAAGATTCAATATTCTATAGATTTTTAAATCTAAACTTTCTTTATTTTTTCAGTTATTGTATGAATGTGTCTGCAATAATTCTTTACTGCACAGATGCACTCACCAGTGACTAAGTCCCCAACTTCACGTAACAAACTTTATTTATCAATCTAAGTTGCCGTGACTGGGTGTGTTTTTCGGGCACTGTCCAATCGGAGGATTGATGGGGGCCAACATCCCTCACGAAACATTGTCTTTACTTCACATGTATTGCCGGATAATCTGCAAAATGGCTGTGGGTGACACTGCGATCTTTTACCCTCATTTTTGGTATTATCGTTTGTCTGCAGATTATTTCTGATGACTGCAGCTTTTTGTCCTATACAAGAATATCAAATATAATGTGGCGAAACTTAGTGCATCCTTACCTTAAAGATTATGATTGTTGCTATGTTATTAGCAGTACTAATTGCACTATGAATTAAGATATACTTCTAAAAATCAAGGAAAAGAGTAGACAGGAGAGATAGGTTGGAACTAATGATTGCCTCATTGGTAACTAAGCACTTTTAGAGCCAATTTAAATACAAGTAATAAACTAAACTGTGAGCATGACATATCCATGCCTGCCATCTCTAGTATCATCAGGTTGGTTGTTACATGCACATTATCTTTTTTGTTATTGAAATTTCTGTATAGTATAGGTATCAATCATTGGGTTTTATGTCACAGTCTCAAGGGCTAGGATGATGCTTTCAGTATACAGAGATTTTCTTTTTAATTGATTGGGATTCAAGAACATTTAGACTAATCACCACCCTTAAAAAAGAAGTAAAGAAAGGAACGCTTTATTTCATCTTATAGGAATAATGAAATAATGAGAATATTAATATTTTGAAAACTTTCAACAGGACGGGCAAGCTGAGAAAATTGCAACCCAGTTAGAAGGAAAGGAAATTAAGGCAAGAAAAAGAAAAAGAGGTAAACTACATCCCGTCAGTTGTCATATTACGGTATTTCTTTTGGTTTATTTCATACAGGTTGAAGCTCAGCAGTCCAGTCAACTTGAGTCCAGTCAGGTGCTGAAATTGCCAGATTTTTTCCAGTGATATGGTATAAAAAAGACAAATAATTATATACTTTTAGGCATTATTCATATAATAAAAGCATAAAGGCTCAAGTTTCTGAGGGTAATTGAGCAGGCATGCAAGTTTGATCTTTGCTTTAATCAGCTCATAAGGCCGAGATTACCAAAGCCGCTGGACCACTGAATGCGAGACTAGTGCGATTCAACCTGTATTACCCTTTTGTCTTTTGTTTCTTATTCTTTCTTGTATTTCCTTCTTTCTTGGTTTCAATTTTTTTCATTTTCTTTATGCTTTTCTTTAAGTCTGCGATATTTTTATTTTCGTTCAGTGCTTAGGCCTAATTTTCATCAAAATTTTAGTTGGTTTCATGTAGAATTATGTAGACTCAATTTACTTAATTGCTACTTATTATTATTATTTTTTGTTTTGTTTTGCTTTTGTTTCCTGCCCAGTCTTAGCAATCCAGTTTCTCTTTTGCAATTGCAGAATGAAGTGAGATCTTTTACTGAGCGCAAGTGCAGTGATATATTTTAGAGGTGAATAAAACTCTTGCTTTATATTATATTTTTAAGATAGGAAAACATATATCTAATAAATCTTAAACAAAAACATATCTAATAGAATGTTTTCAAATTCTTGATAATTGATCAGCAGAATCCAGAAAAATGGTTCCTCAAGACGACGACGAGGAAAAACACATCCGGGAAGTGTTTGCTGCCCTTCGTTTAAGGTCCGAATATAAGGAGATGTTTAGCTATGTCCCAAGCAGTGACGACTTCAGGCAAAACAACAGTGTGATACGTGAAATGAGGAAAAGGTAAAAGGAAAAAAGGTATGGGATTCCAGGGGGAAGAAATGTGTCTGTATTTTGGTATATGGGAATGGAATGGATTTTATAGATGTGATGAAAGAGCTTGGTTATTGAAGCTATGATTTAGAAGCTATTTTAAGGGTAATGGGAGGTGAATTATGTTATAGATTAATATTGTTGTAGGTTTTATGAAATGGCAGGATTGCTTGAAATATATAGCCATTTGTGTAGCACATTATATTTTTGGGAGTGTTTGCCTTTTAAATGTTTTTATATTCTTCTTTTTTTGTCATCAGTCGTCATTACATTTTTCTCATGATATTGTCTTTTTTCTATTTTTTTCAGCTTTTCTTTTCTTTTTTTCCGAACTGTCATAACATATGTGCTATCCCCCAGATTTACAGAAATCTCGAACATCACGCTTCCAGTCCTTGACGAATCACACAATAATGCAAACCTTGGAGTCCGAGAAATAGAAAACCACAAGTTCCTACTTCCGCAAAATGTCCGGTATATATGCGATGATGTTAGTAATCTGTTGTCACATGTGTCAGGAGATCAATTTGACATCATTGTGATGGACCCCCCATGGCTGAATAAATATGTAAAGAGACGATGCCTTGCTCATGGAAGTCATCATGGGTATGTATATCTAGTTTTTCTCTTTCTTTCT